CGGGCTCGAAACGGGACCAGCCCATGGGTTTGACTTCTAGGGCCTGGCTGGGAGGCTGCCTGCCTCAGTTTAGGGAGCCCAGGCCCTCGACTAGGGATGAGAGATCAGGGATCAAGGCCGGAGGTCTGGGCCACTTAGTTCTGGTACGCTGGCTAAGGCAGCCAGAGGTCAGGGTTCAGATGTGGAAGCCAAAGCCACTCAGTTCTGTGGTCCAGCAGAGGGCCAGAGACCAGGGATCCAAGTTACTGAATCCTGGGGCTGGGATCCAGAGGGTACCAGGCCACTCAGTACTGATGCTCCAGCAGGGGCTGGGCAGCCGGGCTCTCACGCTCCTCAGCAGGGGCAGGCCAGTCACCCAGGATCCCAGTGGGTGTGCCACTTTCAGGAGCACTGCCGTCCAAGCAAGGAATGTCCTGGGCTGCTCTGGCGGGCGAGGAGGCATTGGTGCTGATATCCGGGCTGAGGCTGAGGTCTAGGGGCGCCTAAGGGAGGGGAGAGAGATTGGTGGGAAAGCAGACCCGAGTAGCTCGGGACCCAACCCTTCCACAGGACCCTTACCTGAGATTTGGGGGTGCCTCCTTTGGGGCTCCCTGAGGCTGGCTCTGCCTCAGATCCCCCCAGCCCCTTCCGACCCCCCAGGGTCCACTTCCCGCTGGGACCCTCAGAACTGAGGAGACCGGGGCCAGGGGTTCTTGAGGGCCGGGGACCCTCAGTGGGGGCGGGAGAAGAAGGGGTTGGTCCAGGGAGCCGAGGGGGTGGCCACTGCAGCAGAGGAGGGGGGCGCCCATCACCAGAGCTGCTCAGGGAAGGCCGAGGGCCCCAGCCTGGACCCGGAGGGAGGGGCTGGTCTCCACTGCCTGTGGGAGACAGATAAGAGGGTAGAGATCTCAGCTAGGCCGTCCTCCTCACCCACCAGTTCGGCCCGGCCTCGCCAGCTCACCTGCTGTGTTCTCAGGTGTGGGGTGTGCCAAGGGGGGGTTATTGCTGAGGGAGCCCAAGCCACCGCCTCCGCCACAGTCCGAGTCATCCACGTTCCCGCCACTATTGCAGCCGGCACCACAGCCCTTATGAAGCCTGGGATGGGGGCAGTGGGGAGGGACAGGTTGGCAGGGGGAGGGCCAGAGACCTTGCAGGCACAAGCCCCCGGCTCCAGGACAAGTCACCTAACATCTCTGAGCCCCAGGATCCTGTCTCTAACAGATTTTGCCATCTACTTTGCAGGGTCTTCTAAGAGAGGCGTTATCAATGGCTCTTAAGGCTAAAGGCCACCTTCAACTCTGGGAGAGCAGGATGAAGTCAGGTCAGCTCTGGGACGGTGTCAGCTCTCGGGGCCCAATCCTGGCTCCAGCACTTCCTCATTCTGAGCCCTAGGAGGAAGTGGCTTCACCTCGCTGAGCCTCTGCTTCTCACTCCAGGACCTCAGCCCCACAGGCTCGGGGTGGTGTTCTGGGCTCACCTCTCCCAGCTGTGCAGAAGCCAGCGGGCAATGGCACTCAGGCTGACAGGGCCACCCCACAGTGCCCGCAGCTGGGGGTGGCTGCCGGCCAGTGAGGTGGTGAGGGGGGACACATAGATGGGGTAGCCCAGTGGCTGGTCACAGGAAGAATTGATCATGTTGCGGAGTGCCTGCTTGGCGTTCTGGATGCTACCGCGTTCGGGGTTGCGGTTGCGCAAGAACACCAGCTCCTGCTGCTGCCCGGCCCACAGGCCACGTACACACTCGCGGTTCACCTGTGGGCGGCCACACACAAGGGTCAGGGGGTCAGTGCCAGGAAGGGGGCTGAGCGGGCACGGGGTGGGAAGGGGCATCCCCACCTTGATGACTCGGAAGCTGAGGTGGCGCCGGTTAAGCATGATGATCTTGTACTCATCAGAGGCGTCATCCAGGACGTGACGCAGAGCCAGCAGCGAGGGCGTGTTGCTGAGGATGGCGCTGCGCCAGGCTGGGTCGCCCTCGTGCGAGATGACCAGCCGCTCCTCGTTGGCTGCGATGGCGTCGTACAAGGCGGCGGGCTCCTCATACTCATCTGGGGACGTGAAGTGATCCTGCGGGGTGGACAGGAGGGCCGTGTCAGTGGCCCCGCCCTGGGGAGGGGCTTCACCCCACGGCCCGCCCTGCCTGGGGGCGTGTCCCCTACCTGGTGGAGCTTGAGGGCCATGCGAACTCCAGGCGCCACCACGCGATGAAGTAGGTCCATGTCGGCAAAGACCCACTCATCGCGTGGGGAGGTGATGCGGAAGTCCCCCTTGAACAGGGCGTGCAGGCCGTACAGGAAGGGCTCCAGGCTGTGGAAGAGAAGGCACAGGCGAGCGTGAAGGTTCCCGAGTTCTGGCTCTCCAGGCAGTGGTCGGAGCCGGGACCGCTCTTCCTGCGGGGCCTCAGTTTCCCCAGCCTGACAAGGTCCGTCTCCGTCTGGGTCCTTCACGGGGTGGTGAGGAACAGGCCTGATCATAACTGGGAGGTGTCTTGCCCACAGAGAGGAGCCACCCTGAAGGAAGGACTGATGAGGTTCCCGGGGGCTTCTGGCCCAGAGCTGTTCGTGGAGGGGGCAGGGGGAGTACAGGAGGCGCGGCCGGACCTGTGGCACTCACCTGGCAGACATGCTGTGCGAGGCCGTCCCCAAGGCCCGCCGGCCCAGCACGCACAGGCCAAAACACAGCGTGACCAGCGGCGAGTTCCAATCCTGGTCCACGGGCTGCGGCACAAGGACCCCGTCCCCGGAGCCCAGCTCAGACCAGGACAGGGAATGCGGGGCGGGGGGCAGGGCCCGGGCCGAGGGAGGCTGAGAGCAAGAGGGACTCGCACGGGGAAGGGAGAACTGGTGGGGCGAGGGAGGGAGGCAGCCCCAGGGTCGTGGTGGCCGGACCTGGCTGCGCCGGGAGGCGCAGTACTGGATCCACTCGAGGTGCACCGCGCAGAAGGAGGGCAGTGAGAGGCCGGAGAGGCGGAGGTCATAGTCCTCATCCACGCTCAGTGAGAAGGTGGGGTCCGAGTCAGCGTAGCCCGGCGCCCTCACGGGCCGCAGGGCTGCTGCAATGCCCTCGTGGCTCAGCCACGCCTCCAGCTTCGGTGAGCGGCTGACGTAGTAGATGATGCTCTAGGAGGAGAGGGCAGGCATCAGAGCTGGGGCCAGTGACTGCGGTCATGCCCTAGTCGTGGGAGAGAAAGCACCAGGATGCTCCCTGGGCCATCCACCCTCGGCCCCTCTGAGTTCCCTGAAGCCACACGAGCAAGTGTGCCCCCCTCTCTTAGGCCAGGAAGCCCCCCTCCTTACACAGCGTCGCCTGGAAGGTTCGGCCCTGTGGCAAGTGCTTGTCTGCTTGCTTCAGAAGATCCCTCATTTGAAGAGAGACTGGGGCTTAGACAGCAGACTTGCCTGAGGTTACACAGCAAAGCAGACGCAGCTAGGGGGTTCTAAACTGAACCCCCAGAACCTTCCACACCATGATGCTGTGGGATCCAAATCTCAGAGACCTTGGAAGGTCAGGCTGAGGTAGTGGGGCTGCCTGCAGGCCATGCCCGTAGGTCATGGGTCCCTTTAGGCAGGTGAGATGTGACAGCCACAGGGCTTCCACTCAGAAAAAAAGGCAAAGGCACAGTATCCTGTGCCCAAAGTCGGCGGCTCCTGTACCCCTTAAGTGAACGCTGGTTGCTGAGCAGGTGTTTGGGCAAATGGAGAAGAGCTTCTGGAAGGTAGACAGTCAGGATGGATGGGCAGTGTGTGGCTGGCAGTTGGTAACCAGCAAGGTTACAGGGATTCCATGGGCACCCTGGGATGGAGCCGATCTGGTCCTGTGCCTGGGGACAGGGTGGCCAGTCTGGGGCTGGGGAGGGTGCTGCAGCTGGCCATGAACAGAGGGCACCCAGACAGGACGAGGAATGTCCAGCAGGGTGGCTCCGGTGGGGCACCCTGCCCCGCACACCTGCCACCACGCCCGACTTATCCTTCCGAACTTCACCCCACGCTGTCCTTGGCAGAGCACTCCCCAGGTCCTCCAGACACCTGTACCCAGCTCTGACCGTGCCCAGCTTTGGAGGCAGCTGCATCCGTGGCAAGTTAGCTTCCCCATGGCACATTAAACTTGGCTGGGGTGGAGCTCATCTCAGCCTGCCAGCCCAAGCCTGGCTAGGTGCCTGGTGCACAGCCATGAGAAGGCTGCTGTTGGCCTTGAGCTGGGTTTCCGGGAGGCAGCAGGGTGACCTCAGTAAAAGCACTTTTCTGACAATGGGGGGGGGGGGGGGGGGGAGGTGGACAGAACTGTGACCCCTGGATGACCTGAAGCTGGGAATGTCCCGGTCTGGACCACAGCCTCCTCCTAGGTGACAGTGAGAGGTGTGAGGCTCACAAGCCCTTCCTTAGAAGTGGATGGGTGGATAGGAAAAACCACAGAAGAATTACAGTTTCTCTGATGTGTGCTGCAGAAGGGATGTCACTGGAGGCGAGAGGACAGCTGGGAGATGCAGACGCCTGCCCCAGAGATGACCTCAGGTGAGCAGGCCTATCTGGGCCCCAGGAGGCCTCCCCTCCAGACCCCGCGCCAGGAGCCCCAGGGCAGATGTTAAGAGGGCACAAGGGACTGTGGCCAGTGACCACCCTCACCCCACTCCCTCGGTTCCCTTACTCTGGGGGTCACAAAGCTGCATCATTCCTGCCATCTCACAGAACTCCAGTAATCCCCACTTCTCAAGCGGATAAACCAGACACAGCAAAGGAGGTGACATCGCAGGCTTCCCAGAACCCAGTCCAGGGCTCCTGCTGGACCCCGCACTGTGCCTCACAAACCCCACCACCCCCAGCAGGTGCTTGGCACACCCAGACTGAGACAGGGAGGCCCAGGCTTGGGTCTAAGACTGGCTCTGCCACTTTTCTCCTGATTCTGGGGCCTCAGACTAATCGCCTCCTTCTGCGAGCCAGCTGCCATGGCCGAGACATCAGGACCTCTCTTGAAGGGTATGGTGGGCTTCAGCCAGTTTAGGAGCCTGTCCCTTGGTAAGTACCACTGCTTGGCAGCCACTTCTATGATTATCACTTAACGCCACCATTGGTGGCATTATCGTCCCTCTGTGCTGGTGGGGCCTGGGCCAGGGTCCTGGTGGTCTAGAAGACTGGCCTCAGCAACTGCCCTTCCCAGGACCAGCAGCCCAGTGCCCACTTTCCCCCGATACTGCCCAAGGTGCATCTTCCAGAGAAGGGTGACAGGGAGACCCCCGGCCCCCAGTACCCTAATGCTAGAGCCACACAGGCCACTGAGGCCCCTGAGTCCTGCTGTCTGGTGGTGGGTGGCACCCTGGAGGATGCTTAACCTCTCTAAGGCTTTTGCTTCCCTTGGGAAAAACAGGTTCCCAACAATCCAGAAGATGACACTCAGGACGCTCCTGGTCAGTGAGCATTCGCTAGTGGGGACCCCTGCCGCCCAGCCACCCGCCCGACATACCTTGACGTAGTAAGTGATGAGGATCTTGCGGAGGTCAAACACCTGCAGCATGGAGGCGGCGTTATTGTCGCTGATGCTGTAGCCCTCCAGGACGTACTTGCTGGCCGTCACCTCCCAGGCCAGCCAGCGCTGCCCAAAGGCGGCATTGAAGGACAGGACCCGCGGCAGGTGGCCAGGCTCACAGCAGCAGCAGCCCTCATCCTCCTCCACGCCCTCCGTGATGGCCTCTACCTCGCGCTGCTGGCAGTAGGTACCTGGAGGGGAGGGGGGCAGTCAGGGGGCCACCAGCACATCCCGCCTGCCTTCTCCCCAGCCAGCGCCCCGGCCTTCGTCATTCCCTGCCCGGGGATACCGTGTGAGTAAACATTATTAAATGAACGGATCGACAAATGAACCCTTTCTCTTCCTGACTCCCAGGGGCCACAGCAAAGACCGAAGCTCAGAGAGAAGTGACCTGCTCAAGTTCATGGTGCTCGTGAGCTGTGCTTAGAGCCCCTCTGCACCCTCAGGGGCCTTTTCTGAAGCTGACATCCAACATGGACGTCTTCCGAAGGCAAAGAGCTAGCTCACCCACCAGGGGTCATAGGTGGCACCCAACCTGGGCCAAGCCCAAGACCACAGGGCAGGCAGTTGGGAGCGGAAGGGAGATCCCAGAGCTCCGGGCCCAAGCTTGTACCAGTGCAGCCTGTTCAGTCCCTGTGGACCCAGAGTCAGGGCAGGGACACAGCTTGGCCAAAGGAGACCCTGCCGCCTCACCATTTATAGCGGGAAACCCAGGCCTAGGGAGGAAGAGTGCCTTGCTCAAGGTCACCCTGCAAACCAGGGCAGGGATGGACTAGAATTCAGCCCTCACGCGCTATGCAACGCAGCAGCCTGCGTCAGGCCCAGGCCCCGCGCTCACCCCGGAACTCAAGGCCACGCAGCTGGAAGGTGACGAGGCCATTGCCAACCTCGATGAGGTGCACCAGGGCGTTGAGGTAGTCAGAGGCCAGGACGAAGCAGTCGCCGGGGCCGTAGTTGCCCCAGCGGCCCAGCACCAGGTCCCCACACAGCGTGTGCTGCAGCGAGCGTGTCAAGTGCTCATAGAAGATGGAGTTGAGGTTGTTGTCGTCAGCGCCTGAGACCCAGGACAGACAGACAAATGGGCAAAATGACAAGTAAGCAAGGCTCCCTCCCCAGGGAGGCCTGGCCCTAAAAGCCCCCAGATGGCCAAGTACACACCTGGGTTCCGATCTAGCTGGGTGACCAGGCGGGTGTTGGAATGATCCACACGTTTAGTGCTGTTC